TACACTATATCATACTACTATATCACTTTACACTGTCTCATTATTACACTATATCATACTACTATATCACTTTACACTGTCTCATTATTACACTATATCATACTACTATATCACTTTACACTGTCTCATTATTACCCCCAGCAGACCCGAAAACACTCAGAAGCATTTTCAGCTTCCCGACAAGAAGCATATATGCAGCACAGTATTCTTCAGTTAGTTACAAATCAGGCTGGACTTCGAAATTACTGCTTGACCAACGAAAGCCACAAGAGAGCAAAAGGGGGACAACTCACCAAGGCACATTTCTGTGACTCGTCTTTCTCTGTCTTGTTACTTCCCTTGCCCTGCCAGATGAACAGGCAGTCCCAGGCATCCAGGATCATGATGTCATCCTCGATCAAGTCCGCCTGAGAGAGTGAGAGAGAGAGAGAGTGTCAGAGAGAGAGAGAGCGAGAGAGAAAGTGAGAGAGAGAGTGACAGTGACGGATTGCTGGTGAGATTCTCTCAAAAACTTTCTCTCTCTCCGACTTTCCGTTAATCACACACACACACACCTACTAGCAACACTCTTTCAAATTTTCTCTCTCTCCGACTCCACACACACACACACACACACAGACATACAATATTTTCTCACGTCCCGAAAACCACACATATACACACAGACCAGCTAACAAGATTCTTTAAAACTCTTCTCTCCTCTCTCTCTCTCTCAAACACACACACGTCAAAACACACATACACACATACTCTCACATTCAGTTGAAATAAATAAGCCAGCATTCACACGGCAATAACATAAACGGTTTTCCCTGTACACTTTAACATTAACAAACTCAGGTACACACTGACCAATACAAACTCATGTACCCACTGACCTGCACAAACTCGTGTATTTCCTCCACACTGATGAATCCTTTGGCATTCGACAGCTGGAACAATCTGGGAGGGTGGCTGCCTTCATCCTAGACACACACACACAAACATTCAACAAGTTTGGTTCATTCCATTGAAGATTTCGTAACCCTATCCGTATGCCCTGGGGTCATTTTGTAACCCCGGAGTTGTATTTTTCACATTTTAGAATACTTCTAGTACGAAGATCTCTTTGAAACTTTCAGTATTTTTCAAAAAATCATTTTGACAGACTGCTATGCAAATTGTACGGACCGGATTAACTAGTAAATTTCCTCTTTGGAAAGTGGTGGCACTGAGTTCCCCACGTCGTATGGATACGATAGTAAAACACTACGTACGGATAGGGTTAAGTGGTGACACAGAGTTCCACACGTCGTATGGATACGATAGTAAAACACTACGTACGGATAGGGTTACCAAACACACTACAAGTATCAACGACGTCGCAAACATGAATATCGTCGTTGGCAAAATGTTGAAAGGTATTTAGCCCACCGGGCAACATGTTTTCAGGAGAGAAGAAAAACTGTTTCATTTTTTCAACAATCGTAAGTACCGGTACTCAACAGTACTTTTAAAGAGAAAGAGAGGAAGGAAGAGAAGGAGATGGAAGGACAACATTACAGAGTGGACAGGGAAGACGATGGGTGACAATCTGAGGAAAGCAGAGGACTAAAATAGAAGACTAGAGCTGGTTTTCAGATGCAGTGGTGCCCCCACGGTTGCCCCAACCACGGAATAGAAGAAGAAGAAGAAGAAGAAGTACTCAACACTGATCTCGTTTTTTTTTTCAGCATTTAAAATTTGAATTTCTACAAAGTATTTCTTGAATTCAAGCAACCAATACCACTGATCAGGAAACCGCAGTTCAAAAACAGGTCAAAGTGTTGGGCTGAGAACATTTTAACAGCTGTCTGGCAATATCTTGGCTGCTGTAAGAGAAATGAGTAACTCTGTTTCACTTTTCCTTCAGGGGAAGTAAAAATAATGTCAGTTTCTCTTTCTTCATGGGACAGCAACCATATTATGGTGTGGTGTTGTATTCAGATGGTTCTATGCTAAAACACTGCGGCATCATGATAAAATGAGCTTGTGGTCTTAAATTCCAACACAACATAAAGGATCTGAACAGAGCGCATCATGGCAGCAAACACCTGGATGCTTCTTTATGAGTTCCAAAAAGTCTAGCTGACTACGGTATTGTACCACAAAGTTTCGCTGACTACGGTATTGTACCACAAAGTTTCGCTGACTACGATATTGTACCAAAAGTCTAGCTGACTACGGTATTGTACCACAAAGTTTCGCTGACTACTGTATTGTACCACAAAGTTTCGCTGACTACGGTATTGTACCAAAAGTCTAGCTGACTACGGTATTGTACCACAAAGTTTCGCTGACTACGGTATTGTACCAAAAGTCTAGCTGACTACGGTATTGTACCACAAAGTTTCGCTGACTACGGTATTGTACCACAAAGTTTCGCTGACTATGGTATTGTACCACAAAGTTTCGCTGACTACGGTATTGTACCACAAAGTTTCGCTGACTACGGTATTGTACCAAAAGTCTAGCTGACTACCGTACTGTATTATACCCTGTTTTCTTCTGGCACAGTTGGTATCATGCTGGGTTACAGAGAGGGTGGCTCTGGCTTAAATCCTCAACAGGACATTCTAAACTCTGGTTGGTTTACGGAGCTTTTGAGGCTCGCCATTGATTTGGCTCAGTGCTATCAGAGATAGACATTGGATTCAGAAGTCCAGCCTGTGTTGAAAGGGGTGTTACATCTACAACTTGACCAAGTTTTGGCTGAGGGACCTCCTTCATTTTGCTCTCACAGTCGAAAACCCTAAAAGCCCAGCCCCCCCCCCCCCCCCCCCCCCCCCCACAAACAAAATTTGTTTTTGTGGAAATTTTCCCAACATTTACCCCCGAAGAGGAAAAAAGACCCCCCCCCGGGGTTTTATTTCCTCGGGGGGCCTCTTCTTTTCCCCCAAGAACATTCCAGAAATCTTCTTTCTCTTGTCCTTCAAAAACATTTGTTAAAGCTCTGGAGAATACAGAGAAGATTAAAAAAAAAATTTACATACCGAGTCTCTCAATGTTTAAAAAAATTGTAAATGAACATTTCCAACCCCATTGACAACTATTCAGATCTTGTGTAACCACGCGGTGGAATCAAGCGCTTCTCAAAATAATGGAATCAAAGGAACGCATTTTTATGCCAGTTTGTCCATTTTTATTAAAGTTTTTTTTCTGGCTCAACACCTTTCATGTCTATATTATTATATAAACACATTTCCAAGTGAATTTAATTCAAAAACATTTATTAAAGGCACAAAGTATGTACATTTTCAGTTTCCAAGGACTCTCAAGCTATAGAAGTTACCAAACTTTGGCGGCCATTTTCTCCCTAATTTTACCTCTGACACCAGGCGACCCTATACCTCCTTCAATCACAAATATCTAGACTTCTATTTAAGATGGATATTTTTTTTTCACTGAAAACGACCCAAACGAATAAGCTTTCTGATGATACCAATACCTCCACATGGTAAAAAATTGACAAGCGCTTGATTCCATCGTGTCGTGACAAACTCAGGAGTTCGTCAGATTCCATCCTGCCTTACAGGACCAGCCACGAGACTCAGCGGGACACAGCGTTTTTTCTTGCATCATTGACAATATTTCTCCCCACTGATGCTTTTTTTTTTTTTTTTTTTTGGTCCCGTGTCCTGATTTTGGTGCCCATATTTGTTGGTTACGTAAAAATATATTGACATGGTGCAAATAGTTATGTTTTCTAGACAAACGAAACAAGAAAAGGGGAATTGTTAAGTCGGTAATGAAGACGATGATGATGATGGTGATCATGAGGTTTCAATGCTGGTCCCTCCCCAAACTACAGCCGTCCACCCACCGTGGGGACCTGGCAGCGATGTTCTTGGCCATCTCCCTCTCGTCGCCGGTGCAGCCTTTGCCCGCCCAGCTGTACACGGCACTCTTGGTGAAGATGACAAACACGTCGTTGGAGTTGAGGGACGCTGCACGCAGGGGGACCTGTCAAGGGGGGGAACACGATGGTTTGTTTCGTTTGAGTAAAGAGATAATTTTGATTTTAGTAAGAGTTTTACGGTACTTGCAACACAATAAGGTCATAAAGTACCGAAGATAGAGGTGTTACAAGAGAGTGACAAACACAAAAAAGGAGAGGAGATAAGGATGACAGACGTTTGATAGGAAAGAAGGAGCTAACCACACCAGAGCACCCGCCAACCACCCACAAGATAGAATCTAAACTAATAGACCTAAAAACACTTTGAGTAATTTGATCTAATTTTGGACATGAAGTGTTTCCCCTTTTAACAATACAACAACTTCCCATCTTCAACAAGAATCTTATCCAATAAATTTAGAGATAGTTGGAGCAGTTTGATCAAATTAACCCTGTCTGTACGTCGTGTTTTACTATCGTATCCATACGACGTGAGGAACTCTGTGCCACCACTTAACCCTATCCGTACGTCGTGTTTTACTTTCGTATCCATACGACGTGGAGAACTCTGTGCCACCACTTTCCAAAGAGGAAATTTGCTCATTAATCTGATCTGTACGCTTTGCATAGTAGTCTGTCAAAATGATTTTTTGAGAATCATACTAGAAGTATTCTAAAATATGAAGAATACAACCCTGGGGATACAAAATGACCCCATGACATAGGTCTACGGAGAGGGTTAAGGACATTAAAGTGCTTCCTCTGTACGGGCAGAAAAGTCTACTTCTCTTTCCTCTCTCACCTGCACAGCTTTACAGTTGAGGGCTGAGGTTCCCCGCACCTGCAGCATGTACTTATCACCTGGCCCGTTGTAGTCCTCTCCGTTCACCTGTTGCTTGTCTCGTGACCGCGTCCAGCCCGCTTTGCCGCCCTGGGTGGGAGTGAGTAGATGACAGAACGGTGATAACAATGTTGGTTTTGTTTTGGTTTTTTTTTTTTTTTTAGTAGCGGGTTTTACGGTACTCGCAACTGCATAAGGTCTCATGAGCGCCAAGGGGTGGGTGTCAACAGAGAAGTCTTTACAAGGAATCAGACTTACTCTGCTCACCTCTCTAGCTTCAACAGCACAAGGTCTGCTTCGACTATCAAGACACCCCGGAAATAGCAGGTCACAAGAGAGTGACAAAAATACAAAAGAAGTAGAGGAAAATGGCGATAGTAAGGATGAGGAAAGAAAAAGCAGCAGTTCCCTGTTGTAGATCAGGCACAGTTATGAGAGTGACATGATGAATCAGCCCATTTACAATTCTACTGTGCTTGAACGAGAAATGTCCCCCCTTTGGGAACGGCCTAAAGACACTACAGTCAGTGGCATCGCCCCAGGGGGTTGTTTTGTTTTGTGTTTTGGTTAGTGCTTTATGGTGCCTGCAACTGAATAAGGTCATATGAACACGTGGGACACATTTTCAGTTTGGTAAGAAGTTTTGAATTTTGCGTGAGAGGTGGCAGAAGCCTACATTTATCCATTTTAGGACCACCAAGGGATCTTAAATGTTCGCAACTTGCACACAGGACCTCCGAGATTTGTTGCCTTTATCTGAGAAGGCTAGGTGTTAGATCTTACCTATCATAAGATCAGGGGTGTGGCTGAAAGACAGCAGAAAGGAGGAGCCAAGGAGCAGCAGTAGAACGGCTGCAGAAAGAGTCAGGAGCCCAGAGGAGGGGGCAAAGAGGTTGGGGGGAGGGAGAAGAAAGAGGAGACGAAAGCCCATGACAGAACATGGTTAGAGAGCAGGAAAGGAGGAGAAAGGAGAAAAATTTAGAGTAGAAAAATTCCTGTCGCTGTCAGATTTCGAACCCACGACATTGAATGAAAGGCGAACACCGTCACTTCTAGACCACGAGAGCCCCGTAACATGTCGATGAATGTTTTGTGCCAAACTGTACAGGTTTAACGTTCCTCGCAACACTTTAAGGATATTTAAGAAGTGGGACGTCTGGTTTTTAACACTTTGCAGTCACTGGGCGCAATAATTCGCCGGTGAAAATTATCCGTTTCGGTCACCTGGCACAGTTCTGCACCAGGCCCGAGAAGTCCATTGCAGTCACTCTACAGGCTGGGTGACCAGATGGGGTATTTTGTACTGCCGGCTGTGTGACTGCAAAGTGTTAATGTGTATCCCCAAAAGGACTGAGCCAAATGGGAACATTTGAGTAAAGTGCCTCTCTCAGACATAATGTCGGACCAAACTGAACCTGGAACCCCAAAACCTGCAATGTCATCATCATGAGTCCAGGTGCCCAACAACTGTAGCCTACTGACCCCAACCATGAATGTCATGAATGCAAAAGAAAATATTTAGAAAAAAATAATAAAAAAATAAAATCTAGAAAACAACACAATTCAACTTCATTTAACTCGTTTGGATTTCAAGTCAGCTGGTTCACACAAAAAAGCGGAGTGCAAAATCAAATTCCTACACATGTATATAAAAAATAGCATGACTCGTTTTGCCTTCTGTAAAAAAAAAAAGAAGTAAGACATTAAAACCCCCCCCCAAAAACGACAATCTTGGACTTTTTCAGCACAAGAATAATCAAGACACGCCGTAGCAATGTGAAACAAGTGCAAAAATGACTACAATTTGTACAGTGAGCATAAGGTCTGTCTCTGACTTCTGTTCCAACTTTGCAATGACCAACTGACTTCTGTTCCAACTTTACAATGACCAACTGACTTCTATTCCAACTTTACAATGACCAACTGACTTCTATTCCAACTTTACAATGACCAACAACAACAAACAACGACCAACAACAACCAACACCAACCAATAACCTGAGCATGACTCACCTCAAAGATCACCATCTTGCCCCCAAACATGGCCATAAAGTGTGGCGGCTCTTTGTACTGAACCACGCGGACCTGGGGGGAAAAGAAAACAGCGTGTTACATGTACCCAATGATAGTACATAACAAGATAGTTCGCTCCTCTCTTTGAGCCAATTAAAAGAGCGTCCTCAAAATCCGGTGGTGCCCTCTTTGAAAAAGCGCATCCTTTGGGAACAGAGTTACCCTACTTGTGTGAAAAAAATCAAAGTGAAACTAACAAGTTTTTGAGTAAATTAGAACTCAAATTTCGAAAGAACACTTTTTTAAAATGGTTACGCCGACAAAAAATCTCTTCCGATGGAAGGGGCAATTGTTTTCTCCGTTTAATTTGACTTTAGAATGAGAGGCAAGAGGTCATTAAAATTAAAAAAACAACTAAAGCTCTGCACTGAGCCAACACGAACAGCTGATGAACAGCAGTTGATCTCCGCACGCAAGGGGGTGCTATTCCTATTCTTCTTCTGGATAAACGATAAAGAGAGCTTCAAAAGAAAGACTGCAGCGCCATCTGAAGCAATGAGCGGACTTCCGCCGACACTTTTTTGGGTGAGTGAACCATCTTGTTATGTACTATTTTTTATGTTTCTTCTTTAAGAATTCAGAAATCTCTCAGAAACAAATATTTATCTATCATATATTTGGCAACTTGGAAACACCTATATGTCCCTTTTCCCATAAAACTATGCCATAATACTACAACTAGTTGAAAGTTGGCAAGTACCTGCAAAAAGATAGTTAGGTCCCCATGTTGGAGCCAGATTTTTTATTTATTCATTTCCTGAATTTAGAAAAATATATTTGACAAAAGCTAAAACTTGCCCACACCGGGGTGGGGGTGAGAACAACGGGCGAGTTATTCTCACCATGAGAATATAGAAGGCCTTTTAGAGAATGGTGTATGGCAGAGTCTAACACTAAGCAGTCCATTGGCAGGAACATACTAGAAAGGCATAACTAAAACAGAAGACATTACAAGAACATCTCCTCACCTGTACGGGAGCTCCTCCGTACTTATCGTCCAGCTGGACGGTCATCAAGGCCGCTGTGCCCTGTTCGTCAGCCGTCGACTTGGAGCCCTAATCAAAGAAATGGGACAGTTGTAGACAAGTCAGTTCACATACATAGAGCACAGCAGTTTTAGGCAAGTCTCTTCACATACATATGTGTTACAACATGGTGGAAACAGGCGCTCATCAATTTTGGGGCATATAGAGTTATTGGTGTCGTCCTAAAGCCTAGCCATTTGCCTAGATTTTGATTTTAAAAATACTCGGTATACATTTATTATCTTTGCTACAGGTCAAGATATTGGCGATTGAAGGGGGTGGTGGTCTCCTGGTTTTAGAGGTAAAATTAGGGAGAAAATTACTGCCAAAATTTAGTTATTTCCTCAGTTTGAGAGTGTGAAAACTGAAAATTCAAATCTTTTATGCCCTTAGTCTACGTTTTTCAGTAAAATCCACACAGAAATGTGTTCTTTAATGGCCATGAAAGGTGTTGAGCCAAAAAACTAAAATTTGATGAAATTCACAAACTTGCGGAAAAATGCCAGTTTCTTGACTTTCATTATTTTGACGAGTGCCTAATTCCACAACGCTGCCTCACAAATAGCACAGTCTTTCAAGTTCTGCTACATACCTACAGACATATCGTCATATACTGACAACCTTTCAGAAACACACTTCACATCCTTACTCACTCCCTTTTCCTTTCCCATTCCAGATGTTTCTTTAAATCAATATACAGTGGAGCCCACTTAACCCAAATATGGTTAATCTGAAAACAGTGGAAAACCGGAAGAAAAGAGAAGCCCCAAATTTTCTTAACCGAAAACATTGCTAGAGGAAAAAAAAACCCCGGTCTGTAATCAAACAACGACCTGATATAAAAAGTAATCCACCCTTCACAATAGACATTTTTTTTCAGTAAGACAAGAGCAAAATATAAAAATGTTCTCATAAAACCAACAAGAGACAGTCAACAAAATTATAACGACACTGACAACAACAACAAAATTATAACGACACTGACAACAACAACAAAATGTTTAACACTTTGACGCCTCATCTCGCCGACTGGCGATGTTTACCGCCCAGTTTCTTTGGATTTCCCCCAAAATATGATGGCAAAGTGTTAAACAAAACTGACAGAGAAATCAGGCTCTGTGTTGTGAAAGAAAAGACGTACCAGCCAGTAGTAAATGAGGTAGGCTTCCCTCCCCTGCACACTGTATGTGTACAGAATCACGTAGCAGTCTCCTCCATAGAACTCCCCGTAGTGGATCTTCTCCAGAGGAACCATCTCAAAGTCCTGGATACGCCAGATCTGAGGAGTTAAGTTTCAGTAAAAGTTTTACGGCACTCGCAACACAACAAGGTCATATAAGTGCTGAAGACTAGAGGTGTTACAAGAGAGTAACAAACATAAAACAGAAGGAGGAGAGATCAGGATGATAGATGTTTGATAGGAAAGAAGGAGCAAACCACACCAGAGCACCCACCAACCACCCACTGAGGAGTTTCAGACACCTACGTTCATCACATAGTTGGAGAAACACAATGTTTTCCACATTAACAATTTTTTTAAAAATGAGCAACGCCAAACAAGTCGGCCATCTGGCTTTGTTCGTTGGTAAGACAACAATAAGGTTTTTTTCTTTCTTAGCATTAATTATCACCATCTTTTAGTCCACAGCTGCAAAACAAAACAAATGAGAGAAAATATGGACTTTGTAAAGAATTGATATTTTATAAATGATAAAAAAAATTTCTTAATAAATTAGCACTCCGTGAAGTGTTTACCTTCTCAGTTCTCAATCTGAACTTTGTGCAGAGGATGACCTCTCCTGCTTCAACTGATACCCTGACATTGTGACCCAAGTAAAATGAGTCAATTGAAAGGTAGATGACGAGACTTTGTGACAAGAAAGGAAGTTATTTCCCGTAGTTCATTTTTGTCCCGTCAGATAGCTGGCGAGATCTTTATTCTCTAGTTAGTTGTAAAATAGTCACAAGCAGGCTGTCACTAAAGATTCTATACTGCCTTGATTCAAGTCTTTCATTAACATACTGATCATGAATCATATAATCGGCCTTTTCTACTTTTCTTGTCTATTTTTGATTTGATGCATTTTATCAAAACGCTCTTCATACTGACTGCTCACTCAGTCCAAGGCTCTGTCATACATCCCTTCTCAAAATGGTGCCCGGCTGAGTCGTACACTAAGCATTCGATACACAGATTCTGTCACTCCCCGCACAACTCTGTCATTCCCGGCACAACTCTGTCATTCCAAGCACAACTCTGTCATTCCAAGCACAACTCTGTCACTCCTCGCACAACTCTGTCATTCCAAGCACAACTCTGTCACTCCTCGCACAACTCTGTCATTGCCAGCACAACTCTGTCATTCCAAGCACAACTCTGTCACTCCTCGCACAACTCTGTCATTCCGGGCACAACTCTGTCATTCCGGGCACAACTCTGTCACTCCCCGCACAACTCTGTCATTCTGGGCACAACTCTGTCATTCCGGGCACAACTCTGTCACTCTCCGCACAACTCTGTCATTCCGGGCACAACTCTGTCATTCTGGGCACAACTCACCTCCACTTTGCCGGATCCGTCGTCCACCATCTGTGTCTCTGCGGCCAGGGCAATGTTGCTGTGAAGGGTGGCCGCGTCAAACTTGGTCTGCACAGTTTTGGCTGAGAGAAAATAGGAGTGGTTAGCTGGGAGTTATCAAGTACTTTGAGAGAGATCAAATCTTTTGATTCATTCAAATGTCAGCTGAAGTCGTTTCTGTTTTTAAATTAATAAGATGAATATTTGGAGTGATTTTCTTTAGTTAGAACACAACGTTTTATGTTACTGTTGTACGTTGTACTGTATTGTAAAGCGCTCAGAGCCTGTGTACTTTAATCGGGGTTGAGCGCTATAGAAATGTCATTTATTATTACCATTTATTATTACCATTTATTATTACCATTTATCATTACCATTTATTATTACCATTTATTATTAGTTACAGAATTTTGTAAAGAGCTTTTTTGTTTGGGTTGTTTTTGGTGAGTTTTTTAAAGTACAAAGATTAATATTGACACAGCAGCGGTAACTTAGTGCAGGGAGAAAGTATGATGATAGACAGAAACCACAGAGATTAAAAAATAAAGAATATAATATACTTGTGGCACCCTTTTATCACTGTTTAAAAAGAGGGTTTTTTTCTTTTTTAAATGTATCTTTTTGGACAGATGGCTTTTCAAATAAAATAAAAAAAATTAATGTAGGCGTTTTTACACCCCTAACAACACAATTTAGATCATCTACGAGGCAGGCTCGCGACCCTGGCTATCAGGGTCAACCTGGGCTGAAAGGGATACAACATCCCACCAAAAAGAGTTAAGATACTTGATAAAAAATTCTCCCCTCTCAGGAGTCAAACTTGAGGTCCTTTACGAGCGACAGCAAATTGTCTATCCGTTCTACCACAGACGCTGTTTGTTTTATTGTTTTAGTAGAGGTTTTTACGGCGCTTGCAACTGCATGAGGTCATATGAGCGCCAAGGGGGGATGTCAACAGAGAAGTCCTTACAGGGAATCAGGCTTACTCTGCTCTAGCCTCAACAGCACAAAGTCTGCTTCAACTATCAAGGCACCCCGGAAATAGCGGGTCACAAAAGTGTGACAAACATACAAAAAGAGGAAGGAAAATGACGATAGTAAGGATTAGAAAAGAAAAAGCAGCAGTTGAAGTTCCCTGTTGAAGTTCAGGCATGGTTATGAGCATGACATTGATGAATCAGCCCATTTACAATTACAATTCTACTGTGCATAAGAACTCAAGATGTTAATGTCCCCCCTTTGGGAATGGCCTAAAGACACCTCAGTCAGTAGCACCGCTCAGACGCTGGTGATATAGGGCTGCTTATACACCATCATAATAGCTACCTTGGTGATTCACTTACAGAGGCATCTCACCCCACTGTGCTGTTCACTGGGAGCACCTTCCCTTGTGGGGGTGGCTCTGTCTTAACCTGAAATCTAACACACACACGCACACATACACACATACACGCACATTGACCCACACGCACACACACACACACACAGACACACATACACACACACACACACACACACACACACGCACACATACACACACACACACACACACACACACACACACACACTGACCCACCTATCCTACTCCTGGTGTAGACTTTGCCAGGCGGTGGTGGTTGTGGCCAGTCTTTGAACAGACACTTGAAGTCTGCCGGCTCCGCCCCCTCCACCACACGGGTGACCTTGGTGTCTGACGGGTAGCCCTTCTTCTTCAGGAAACCCTGGCAACATTTAGTTTATTTTTGTTTGGTTTTAGTAAGAATTGCAAGGACATGTGGTTACTTGAGGGAGGCATTGCGATGCCAAGAGCGAAATGCTCACAGCTAAAGGGATTTGAAAACAACAACAACAACAACATAGTAAGAGTTTCACAGCACTTGCAACACAATAAGGTTATATAAGTGTCGAAGAATTTTGAAAAATTGAATTCTAATTGAATTTTAAAAAACTAGATCTAGATGCAGATTCACCTTGATTTTTTTCACGCAATTAGGGTAACTGATCAAGCTTTCTATTTACCACCAAAAAAATTAATTTGGCACCAAAAAAAAAAAAAAAAAAGAAAAAAGAGGCATTTTGTCAGACAGCGGCAGTTCCACCGATACTCACCACGGCATTCCTCATGGCCTCCTTTTTCTCCTTGGGCGACGCCTTCTTGCCGATCCACAGCCAGGCTCCGGACGGGCTGTTGTCTATGATGAAGGAATCCTGGGGAGGTAGAAAACATTTGTCTCAGTTTTGTAAAGTTGTCAGAAAAATGTGATGCGTGCTGACAAACTGAGTTACTTCTCGGAGTCAAGCCTTAAGGAAATAGATCTATACATCACGCTTTTAGGTGAAATTTGCAAAATCCATAAGTATGAATGGTGAAAGACATGTTACACTTAAAGAATGTGGCATCAGTAGAAAATCTACCAATTTGACCCTTACGTCGGTTTTTGGGCCAATATCTCCATTTGTGGATTGCAAGAAGTAACTCATTTTGTCAGCACACCTCACAAATGAAAATAGATAATTGGAGATTACATGGAGCCACTGCAGAGGTTAAAAAACACATCTAGAAAGACTGAGTCAATATTACTGTTCAAGCATTATGTGCTAAATAATTCAACTGCACGACATGTTCTTGGACAATGTCTGGACACAGAAATAGAACAGCATTTTCTTTTTAAAATGGTTTAGTGATTATAAATATTAACCTTACATGTTGTGAATACTTTTGAGGGCAAGAATAAGGAAAGTCGTCTGTGTCTAATTTGAGGGGAAAAAATTGTCAAAAATCACTGTCACAATTAACCCTATCCGTACGTCGTGTTTTACTATCGTATCCATACGACGTGGGGAACTCTGTGCCTCCAATTTCCAAAGAGGAAATTTACTTGATAATCCGATCCGTACGTTTTGCATAGCAGTCTGTCAAAATGATTTTTTAAGAAATAATGAAAGTTTCAAAGAGATCTTCCCAGTTGAAGTATTCTAAAATGTGAAGAATACAACCCCGGGGGTATAAAATGACCCCAGGGTGTACGGATAGGGTTAAGCAGCAAAAATTCTAGGTAATAGTGGTGGGGAATTGAAGAAATCGAAAATGTTTAATGTTGAGTTACTACGTCCACTCTTGAAACAATTCAAGAGCATGGGGAAGCATAAATAAACAAACTGAGAGCAAAACTAAACATTCATAACCCCCATATTCCCATCAATTGTCTCTTACTCTCAAGTCAGAGCTACCAAGTATGGGAGCCAGTTGAAAAGTTGACATATACCAGAAACAGAAGCATCACTGAATACAAAGTGTCTGTCTATGTGTGTGTGCGTGTGTGTGTATGTGTGTGTGTGTACGTGTGTGTGTATATGTGTGTATTTGTAAGTATGTATGTGTGTATGTGTGTGTATATGTGTGCGTGTCTGTCTGCGAGCGTGTTTATGCATGTGTGCGTATGTGTGTGTGCATGTGTGTGTGTCTGTCTGTCTGCGTGTGTGTGTTTATGCATGCATGCATGCGCGTCTATATGAATGCATGCATGGCTGTGAAGCACACAGAGCAGACTACACAGAGCATCCACGAACCCTCTGTGTCTACAATGGGAGGAAAACACCAGGAGACACAGTGGGTCACCTCGTCAAGTCACAACAACAGAGGCAATGGTCAGGGAACAAATGAAAGATCAAGAACAGAAAACTAGGAGGGGCGGGGGGGGGGGTGCTTCAGAGACAGGCTCAAGGAAGGAAAAAATTCCAACGGGAACAGCAAAATACATGTATTATCTTTTCGTTTATGATCTTCTAACAATAGTTTGCCCGTCAATGTCTGACAATGACCGATGCACCTGCAGAAGAGAACATTTAAAAAAGCGAAATCGAAGAATTAAAGGTACCAATTCTGGCCAGTAAGACTCAGTTCTGGCAGAAAAAGGTTTGCCACATTTTGAGCATTCAGTGAACAGCTTGCCAGCTTCTATCTGGGTTCCTGCTAGTCTGTTATACATATTATTTTATCTTAGGAAAATACAAAGTATGCAAAATAAGAATATCCTGCTGGCAAGTATAATAAACACATCATGTTACGGTGTCAGGATTTGGAAGCGCTGCACATTTGAAAAAACAAAACAATGCCAGACTGCATCAGCTATTTCACCTGCATGTTGTGAGAATTGATGAGTCAACGATAAGTACCAACAAAGGAGGTTTTGCTTGGACATTATCAGATTTTGTACTGTGATCACTGACTGCTGTCCTGTCTTACTATGGTCCAGGCTCACAGCAACTGCAGCAAACCTGCACTTATCACTACATAAACCTGCACTTATCACTACATGGCATTGGACAGAAGGGCGAGAGCCCAGCTAGCTGTTCCTGGATCGACAACAACAACAACAACAATAACAACGACAACAACAGCAACAACAACAACAACAACTATGGTCCAGACACAAAGCTGTACGGTGCAACACCTCTGGCAATGACTTCTTCCTTCTACCCATCTATCCCACCACACAACAGCCGGGTACAACACGTCACCTCGCTACATACAACGTGGCCTCCAACACTGAGGTACATTTCTTACAACAACAATGAGAGAACAACTAATTCCATCCATGCTACTTTACTTTAAAAAAGCAATTTACATATTATTGTTGAGTCCCTTAACAGAACAACTAATTCCATGCATTCTACTTTACACAAGCAATAAACATATCGTTGAGTCACTTGAACTCTTGAAGGACGTAACAGACAGCAAGTGTACGTGTGTGTATGTTTGTGTGTGTGTGTGTGTGTGTGTGTGTGTGTGTGTGTGTGTGT